TCTTAGTTTATATCTATTTTTCAGGATGGTTCTGGTCCTCATTTGTAATACAGTTGGGTTCATTTTTTAGTGTTAGTTTCTATCTGGTGTTCCTCTCACATCCTGATTTTTTTAAAAAAAATCTATTTTCACCCAGTGATTTGGGATGCCACCTTGTCATATACCAAGTTTCTGCATGTATTTGGGTCTGTTCTGGACTTTCTGTTATAGTCCACTGGTTGGTCCATGTATTTTGTTCATGTACCAGAACCACACGGTTTTAACCATGGAGGTTCTATAGCATGTTTTCATGTCTGGTGCAGCTAGTTACCCTCGTAGTTTTCCTTTCTCAATGTCTTCCTTGCATTCTTGCATGTTTCTTTTTCCATGTGGATGTAAAGTCTGATTTTAGTCTAAGTGGAGTGGAGACCAGAATGGGGCTGTCTCAGCGTGGACAGGGTGGCAGAGAGGTGGAGATGGATGGATTTGTGGTTGTGTGCTGCAGGCACACTCTGCTCCTGAAGCTCCAGGATTATGCTCCTGAAGCTCCAGGATTAAGCAGATGGAAAGGGAAAGGCAATCTCTCTGTCCTTATTTAAAATAATACTTCATTTACCTTGTGAGACCACCCCTCTACCTTAAATTTCCCCCCAGAATCTTTTCAAGGTTTGGATGCAGAGGGTGCCACAGGTTAAGAAGATAAATATTGCCCCTACTGCTGCCTGGGAGCCGGTCTGCTTTGGATTTAAGGCAACATTGTAGTTTTAGGCTGCTACAGAAGACACATTGTTTCCTGCTTGCTTGCTCAGCGTGAGCAGCTGGAATGTCTCCTGCTGATGGTTCCCTGCCTGCCACAGGCTCTGTGCTGGGTGCTATTCTCTCAGTCCGAACAGTGTCATCACCAAGCTCAGGTCGTGCCCCTGGCCAGCAGGTCCCACCCAAACCAGCTCCAGCCGCAGAGAACGCTGGCAGAGCAGCCCTGAGACCGTGATTTCATTCTTCTTGAGAAGTAGATGTAATTCTCCCCTGGTGATTTATTTGGGGGGTGAAATAGATGTTGCTGGAATAGAGTGAGGTTAGAAGCATGTAAATTAAAATGCTCTGTGCTTCTTAGGTTTACTCTTGCTCGTTGGGAATTCTTAACAAATAGCCGTAGTGTAGCATCACTGCTTTCTCATTTGCTCTGTTTGCCAGAACAGCTTCGCCCTTCCTGTTCTCCCACCCTGGGTCACACCTCGTAGCTGGAAACTAGCCCGCAGCCATGGAGAGCCCCTGACACAGATGAGACGTGGTGGGGCCACATTTTTTTCATCACTAAGTCAGAACGTAATTCACTAGGATGTGCTTTCTACAGCATGTCAGGAAAAGAGTTTAAGAAGAGTTTCAATCCAGTGTCATATTGTTGACATACGTGTTTGGCTTTATTTTTAAAAGAGTTTATTTTTAAAAGGACAAGACTTGATTGGCTCTCCAAGCCCTGATCTGTTCTTTTGAAAGCATCGGTCTCATTGCCTTAATTGCACATTACTCACTTGGAGATTTTTAATTCTAAGAACCAAAACAGCCATGAGCTGACTTAAGCCACAGAGGAGTTTACTGGAAGGATGCTGGAAAACACACAGAGCTGAAGGCAGAATTGAACTGCATGGGAGCCCAGGGGGGCAGGAGCTGTGCAGCTCTGCAGGGCTGCGAGGCAGGGGCTGAGGAGCCTGCTCCATGGTCACAGCCGCTGCCCACCAAGGAATCTTGTCTGCCCTCCAGTGTGAAGCTGGAGCCTGTGGTAGGAGAGGAGAATGGGGGTACACGTTAAGAAACAGTATTGCAGCAACGACGTTGGACCAGGAGAGGCAATTCCCTCAAACCAGAGTAGAGGACTTTCACTAGGAAAGGGAATACACACCCTTGAGGCTGCTGTGCTGGGCCAGACTCTGCTAGACCCACAGACCCTCCGACGCATGCCCAAAGCAGCTCTGCTCCAGAGAGGCTGTGGGTCTGTCCTTACACTGTAACATTAGGGTTCAGCACACCCTTCGCCAGCCTTATTGCAACATCTTTGGGTTTGTTCTGTGTTTCTCTGCTTTCCCATCCTTCTCCCATAACTGAATCCTGCCTGCTCTCAGATGTGTGAAGCTACTGATAGCTCACCATTTCTGCTATTTGGAAGCACAGAGTTAACTAAATCTTATTACATTATCTTAAACACAGAGTTAACTAAGTCTTATTACATTCTCTTAAATTTGCAGGGCTTCATAGCAGATATATCATCTTTTTTGAAGCAGGTGCCCCTCTGTGTGTGCATCTCATGCTATTTTTCCGTTCCAGGGCCCACTGCTCCTGTCCTTTGAGGAGGATGTGCAGC